GGGAGAAAAAAAAAAAAGCGAGGGCAAGGGGGGGGGGGGGGGGGGGGGGGTCAATTATGGAACAGTCCAAAGAAACAAATGTCAAATACTACAGAACAAGATGACATATTAGGCCGTTATGAACCTAACTACTCTAGAGGAGTTGTACTCTAGTCACATCAAAGGCACGGGCCAAGGTGAGGGGGCAAAATTATCACTTCTGACCCAAAATCGAATTCTTTCTAGACATCTGCCCAAAAATCTTAGATAGTTGCACATTGTGTTTGCACATCACAAGGAATCATTTGCCTCTCCTGTCCTGGAGTACATAGGAAGGTTAGTCTTGCTGGACCTGCATGCTCGCATCTGACACCTGCTGGACAGTTGAGGTTCCACACCTGACTTTATTAGCAGAATTTAAGTTGAGAGCAAACCATTTGGTCATCAAAAAGGAGCCCGTAACCTGCCTGGCTACCCGGTGTCTGAACTGCTTTTTGGAATGTAACTGTATGGGTTGTACTTTGGACGCATGCCTCCGCCATCTGCCTGTCCTACTACGCTCCTCTATTCAATTCACAAGTGTCGCGCCTGCATTGAGTTCGCAGACCCCAGGCACCTGGTTCCCTTTTCCCTCACGGAAGGCATTTGCAGGTCCATCGCATTCTATGGAGGCCCTTTCATTCATTCTATGGAGGCCCTTTCATGCATTCTATGGAGGCCCTTTCATTCATTCTATGGAGGCCCTTTCATTCATTCTATGGAGGCCCTTTCATTCATTCTATGGAGGCCCTTTCATTCATTCTATGGAGGCCCTTTCATTCATTCTATGGAGGCCCTTTCATTCATTCTATGGAGGCCCTTTCATTCATTCTATGGAGGCCCTTTCATTCATTCTATGGAGGCCCTTTCATTCATTCTATGGAGGCCCTTTCATTCATTCTATGGAGGCCCTTTCATTCATTCTATGGAGGCCCTTTCATTCATTCTATGGAGGCCCTTTCATTCATTCTATGGAGGCCCTTTCATTCATTCTATGGAGGCCCTTTCATTCATTCTATGGAGGCCCTGCGTCACATGAGGGCATTACCCAGGATGACAGGAAGAAACAAAAACTCAGAGATTCTCATCCTTCCCCACTGGGGAGAAGATGTTTATGTTGCTGGACGCAACGAGGGCGCCTTCGCCAACAGCAACTCCAAATCTCTCTGAGTAAGCTGGAACGGTGAAACGCGTCACTGGTTGAGGACACATGGAGAGGAACATACAGTCTGTATTTGCTCCATAAAAAAGATTTTTACTTTCAGCGGAGGCGCTTGGATTGCGGCTGTGTCTGTATTGGGCAAGACTCTCTTTATTATTTTTTAAGTAGGGTGGGGAATGGTTTGAATCTCATTCGTTTTTTTTGTTTTTTATTGCTGTCTCTGTCCCCATTAGTGAGATTTGCCATCACCACTTCCTGTCCTGGAACAGGAACATGAAATGATAGGAAATCTCTCCAATGGAGACGGCAACATAAACATCTTCTCCCCAATGGGGAAGGATGAGAATCTCTGTTGGGTTTTTGTTTCTTCCTGTCACCCTGGGTAATGCCCTCGTGTGATGAGGAAAGGGGGGGGGCAGTCAGTCTGGGGAGAAAAGCGCTAGAGCAGGTGTAGACAAACTCCAGCCCTCCAGCTGTGGTGAAACTACAAATCCCATGATGCACCTCTCTCCGAGAGTCATATCTGTGGCTGTGAGAATCTTGAAATGCCTCATGGGATTTATAGTTCTACCACAGCTGGAGGGCCGGAGTTTGACAACCCCTGCGCCAAGAGAAGACTGGATATCCTCCAGCCAGGAAATGAGTCGGGCTCTATGTGACTTGCTGCAACTTCTAATGCAGATTGTGAGAAGCTGGCAGTGTGCAGGGAAATCAGAGGAAGCAAGTTCAGTCCAGGAGAGGAGCCGGTATTCACCTACAGGGGACAGCCAATGGGCTGATGGGCTTTGATTAGCCCTAAGCTGTGACGTGGTGTTAATGAGAAATGAAGGCAATGACAGCGGGAACCACAAGGGAATATCACATGGGGCACTCTCAGCAAGCGTACAAGATGTTGGGGGTAGTAGTATTATACCTTGTATACAAAGAACCCAATGGGCAGGTTGTCGCCTCCCCCAGTGCTGCGCTGAGTCCTGTGATCCTCTTGCTCCAAAGAGATGAGGACGGAGTCATGGTCCAGGGTCACGTCAAAGGAGAACTGCAGAGGAACCAGAGACATGCATCATGGTTTAACATCTGATGGTTTTTAGTTTTGGATGGCGCTGAGAAGAGATAAAACTACAATCAGGTCTTTATTTCTGTCTGTGTCCCCACGGGGCAGATTTCCCCTCATAAAGGGGGAGGTTGTACCTTGCCTGAGCCTAGTGATTGCCTACTAAACCCAAGTGGGAGGAGGTCACATGCTCCCCCGTACCTGGAAGCAACGGGTATTTGGCTGAGCTATAGGGAAGGGTGGCAGGGAAGATGGGCACAGTGACCGTGTGTCTCTTTATACCCGGGGCCCCTTGCAGTGACAGTTCTGTACCTGAGGGTTGTGCAGGTAAGTGGCCTTGTTGTTGGGACATCCACCGCTCCGGTCCTTCAGCGGATCAGAATGCTGCTTCCAGGAGGAGAAGACCGACTCCTCATTCCACGTCTTGTGGGTGCTCAGGAAGTGCGTGTTCACCCGCCGACACAGCGTGACATCGGTGAAGTGAGTGCAGAAGTCCTCCCAGCTCATCCTAGGAGGGGGGAATACAGGGGCAGTTACAATGTCACATCCAATCCGTGTTTTACAGTTTAGAGGAGAATTATGGGGTCAGGGCTTTTCCCCATAGTTCTCCTTAGGGTAACGGGAGGACACAAACTAGCGTCCTCCCGTTACCCTAAGCTCAGTATACCGCTACAGCTCGCGGTATACTGAGACGCCACAGCCGGAGCGGATCCCGACATCGATGTCGGGATCCGCCCAGCTGCGTGAGTGACAGCTGGCTCTGCCTATCTAGAGGCAGAGCCAGCTGTACCCTCCCCCGACCGATCCGCCAGTCAGCGCTGGAGGATCGGAGCGGGGAGGGGGGAATTGAAATGTGAAATATTCAATAGGAACCTCTTATATTCTATATAAGAGGTTGCCAACCCGCTGTCATAGATTATGGTATTCTTTATAGAAAATGTAAAAACATTATATAAACCATATGTATAGAATATTGCAAATTAACCCCAAAATTGTTTTAAATAACCCCAAAGCGTTATTTTGTTAGACACAGACGTCCACTATGGGTGTCCCCACTATTCCTGTCCTAAATTTGTATAGGAATTGTACCATCTGATTGTAACCTGTGTGGTCAGCTGTAGACAGAGAAAGAATATTTGCGTCTTTATATTTACCAAAATTCTCCATCGTCATCCACCGTGACCCCCATTTTCTTCCTCTGCCTATGGCTCACTTTCTTCCATTCTTCCGACCTAAACCAACAGATATTGGTCACAAGTGGTTCTCAATGTACATTGTGTTTAATCTCCTTTTCGTTCCTCAGTCCCGAACTTCAAGAATAAAATACAACCTTTTTTTTAGCTCTGGGAGGATCACAAAGTGGACATGAACTCAAAACATTTTTCTTGGGTTAGTTGGGTTGAAGGACCGGATCTATTTCATGCAAAGGCTCCTCATGTAATGTTGAATTTCACAATATTCCGCCTCTCCTTACCCGTCGCTCCAGGCCCCATTCCACTCTCCACTCCCCCAAGGATTGCGCAGACGGACGAGGCGCAGTTTATGAGTCCGAAAAAGGGAGAAGAGCCCCGAGTGAAGGGTGATGCTTCTAACCGCCGTAACACTGTAGGCATGGCCGGTGACCAGGCCGCTGGAGAGGACCTCCTCCATACACTGATTTGCCGCCGGCTGTGGAGGAGAAACACGGGTTAGCATTTAGTGTTAGGGTTAAAGGAAGAGTTAGCGTTACAGTCACAGGAAGGGTTAATATTAGGATTATAGGGAGGGTTAGGATTAGGGTTACAGCGTGAGTTAATGTTAGAATTACAGGGAGGCTTAGTGTTGAGGTTACAAGGAGGCTTAGTGTTTGGGGTTACAGGAAGGGTTAGTATTAGGGTTACATGGAGGGTTAGTGTTGGGGTTACAAAGAAGGGTTAGCGTTAGGGTTACAAGGAGGCTTAGTGTTTGGGTTACAGGGAGGGTTAGAGTTAGGGTTACAGGGAGGATTCGTGTTAGGGTTACAGGGAGGGTTAGGGTTACAGGGAGGGTTAGTGTTGGGGTTACAGGGAGGGTTAGTGTTTGGGATACAAGGAGGCTTAGTGTTAGGGTTACAGGGAGGGTTAGTGTTAGGATTACAAGGGTGGTAGGGTTACAGGTAGGGTTAGTGTTGGGGTTACAGGGAGAGTTAGAGTTAGGGTTACAGGGAGGCTTAGTGTTAGGGTTACATGGAGGGTTAGTGTTAGGGTTACAGGGAGGGTTAGTGTTGAGGTTAGACAGACAGATGTAGAGAAGCTGCAGCACTGATTTTAAAGGACTTTCCACTAACATAAAGAAAAGGAGGGAATGGTGTCTGTCCCTCAGTAGTAGGCGGGGTCCCTAAACTCTATCCCAGGCATTTCAGCAATTAAATGTTAAATCTGCACATTACTTACAATAGTGATAAATACCCAGAATGGCAGAGCTAAAAGGGAGGCACCCCCATCCTAGACATGACCACATGGAGATCTGATCTTACCGTAATAGAGCTGCATATGAGCGATGCTCTGGAATGGGCCTTCACCATGGCCTTGAAGAGCTTCTTCTTTGCCTCATCTGATCGGAACTTCTCCTCCAGAATGTCGATGGGCTCAGAAACTCCTCCAGTGAAATCAATCAGAGCTTCGGCTGTGCTTCCCCCGTCCAGAGCTTCATAACTTCCAATCAGTCTGGAAGAGAACATGGAAGACTAGTCAAAACATTGGTCAGATGTCAGATTCACCCAAGATTTGCCTTACATTCACCAGCACATCAATTTGCCGACATTACTCACTTGTTTCATCTAGCTTTGTAAAGGTGATTCTTTTTGGTAAAATCTGGCCAAAAGAAATGGCAGAAATGGCCGGCTTCAAGTTCCCTCATCATCTCCTGACGAGGGAGCATGGAGCCGGCTTCCCGGCCAATTAGGAAGCCGGCTCCATGCTTTCTTGGCCCCTTATTAACGAGAAGCATTGGGTCGGCTTCCCTGCTAAGTGGGAAGCCGGGTGGCGAGTCTTCACATGCCGCCCGGCTTCCCGGCTAATCAGGAAGTAAGGTGGCGAGTCATTATACGCCGCCTGACTTCCGAATGGGACTTTCGGTATCGGCGAGTATCGGAAAAAAATATCGGTACTCTATACCGAAAAACCAGTATCACTGCATCCCTAGTTAGAACCACCTTTGGGTCTGCTTTTCCATTGGAAAGATGTATTTGCTCTATGTGTCCAATGCTGGCTATCCTCTCCCTTTGAGGTAATTTCCTCTCACTTCCTGTTGTGTGTCTGGGACAGGAAGCAAAGGGAAATCTCCCCAATGGGACAGATAGGGAAAGTTAGAGTGATGTCAAAGCTCCTAATCTCCATACTGGTCACAGGTCAGTGGCTCAGAAAGTCCTGAAGTCATTGGATCAGCATGGAGGCCAGGCCACTAGCATCTCCAGAAGGAGGTCAGCAAAGATGGCCTCCATACTTCCCCAGTACAGGATTCCTTTAACCACTAATAAGAAGAAGAATTCCTGAAGGTAGACACTTAGATACAACAGGACACCAAGGCTGGAGATACGAAGGACCTTACTTGGCATAAGCTTTCTCCAGCAGTGAACACCAGAAGGCGTCAGTCTTGCGGCCCGGTCTGCAGAAAATTAACTCTCCGCCAGCCGTCGGCAAACGGTCATCGATAACGACTTCTACCCAGCGGCCAAAACGCCAGAATCGGAACCTGAAGATCCCACTGTGAGGGCCCCCCCCAGGGCTGGGCCATTCCTGTTCCTGAGGGGAAGGTATGACCTGGAGAAATAGGAAAATGGAGACTGTAAAGGAGCTCTTCAGTGCCCATGTGCTCTCAATCCTTGGCCAGATAATTATACTGCAGTCAGGACTGTAAAGTAGTGGTGACATCATCACTGTGCTGTACATAGCCTGTGCAGAGAGCAGAGCTGTGGGAGGGGCTCAACAGGCCCCACCCACTACAGCCTGCCTGCTGAAAACTACAGGAGGGGGCGGAGACCAGACCAGTCACCCTGCACACAGAGAGAGAGCAGCAGTGAAGGTCTTTATTACAGGAGGGGGCGGAGACAAGACTAGTCACCCTGCACAAGGAGAGAGAGAGAGCAGAAGGGAGCGGTCTTTATTACAGGAGGGGGTAGAGAGAAGATCAGTCACCCTGCACCAGGAGGGAGAGCAGCAGTGACCGGTCTTTATTACAGGAGGGGGCGGAGACAAGACCAGTCACCCTGCACAAGGAGAGAGAGAGCAGAAGGGAGCGGTCTTTATTACAGGAGGGGGTGGAGACAATACCAGTCACTCTGCACCAGGAGGGAGAGCACCAGTGACCGGTCTTTATTACAGGAAGCTCCAAGTGTCACACTGGATTACTGCACAGATTTGGAGGAAATACACAAAGCTCACCAAAGGGTTTATTTATAAAACTTCCCATGGCACTAGTGCCCCTAGATGGCACTGACGAGTATAGGAATTCCTTAAACTTTTAGGGGAACTTTTATAAATAACCCCCCAAGATTCACATAAGAACTCAAATGCCTCTTTTATTTAGATAATATTTGCTTATCTTGGAGTTCAGCTTTAAGGGCATATAATTACCTTCTTCCATATAGAGGGGTCCGTAGCTAGACAGGATGCAGCTGCCACGAACCAGCAATTACCCAGACTGCCTTGCTGCAGGTCATGTGGACTGATGCCGCTGGCGGGGAACAGGCGGGGTACTCTCACCAGATCCTGCAATAAAGCCAGCAAATTATTGTGTCAGTTTCCGCTAATTCTATTCAGGAAATATTATTCAGTTAGGCTCAGCAGGTTTTCCCCCATGCTCTTGGGCAGGACTGCAGCCTCTTGCCAGCTATTGTGTGAAGGTTCCTCGTTCTAAGGTATGCCTCCCTGCAGTGTTGGGCTGTGGTAGGCTGGGGTACTCAAGGCCCACCAGAAGAAAGGAGAATGAGGATCAACAACGTGTGGCTTATTGTAAGTAGACGTACTTAAATCCCATGGTTCCAATCCTTCCCCTCACTATGACATAATAACATATTTTTGGTATTTTCCTCATTACCCCGTTGTGATTCTGAGCAATGTTTTTAAAGGTTCGTTCACTGAAACTCATGTTTGGGTGTTATGTGGAGGATGGTGTTCTGCATCATGTCCTGTCCTATAACCCTCAGCAAGATCCCTTCACTTGAGTT